AATTTTAGCGTGTATGGATCCTTCTCATGTAGGTAATCTATGAAAAGCTGTGTGTATGCCATATTTTGTAGCGTAAACCGTTCTTGGGCGACAATATTTAACTTTTTAAAGCTGTACTCTTTACCACTAGGCAGCCGATGTCGAACTGCCTCGGACAATGCTGTCGTTGAAGTTGTACCGTACGGCAAATCGCCAAATTCGTGCAATTGTTGCATGATTTCATCGTATGTAATTGTAGGTTTCTGCTGTTTCAGAAATTCAACGTATTGTAGGTCCCCTTGAGAAAGGTGGCTTGGGTTGCCACCTGTATTTTTCTTCGGACTAATGCTACCATCTTCGCAGTAGCGCTTCCAAATATTAGATACAACAGCTGAAGATACCCCTAACTGCCGAGCAATATCAGTGTATTTTCCATGGAAAATGCCTGTTGCACGATTACCCCCATTATTAATGATTTTATTGATAATCAACAATCTCAAGTCATGAGATAAAGGTTTTCCTTGAGCATAAAGTCGACCGTGCTCGTTTACGCGCCACATTTTTTTGCTATTGTAACGGTTCTTGTAGATTGTATTTTTTTCCGCGTTTATTTGAATTTAGAGAATTTAGCAGTAGTATTTTTGTTAAAAGTGCTATGTATATATATAATCTTTCAAGTGTTATAAATATTTGTAATGGAAATCGAAAATAAATGCAAAAGTGAAGGTTATAGAGTGCATATGTATTGTAATTTGACAGCTAGCTGAATATAATTTTGTGCATAGCAACATATAATTGCATGCATGGCAACAACTGCGTTCAGTTGTTGTAACGATCATGCGGTCATGACGTCATTAAACACTCAACCTGAATCCGCAGTACCAACATATTCAATTTCATCAAGTTTCAATCGTGCATCTATAATTTTATTTTTTAGTGTCCCACCACGAATGATGCTGTGGTCACAAAGGAACCAAAATCTTTGGACACCTTAGTTGAACTGGCGTGTATATTCCGCGAGAAACACGAGATATTTTTACGAGTGACGAAGCTTCTTACGATACTGTGTGGAAATGAAGATATCAGAAAGGTAAGAACAATAGACTATAGAGTGTTTGCATGTGACGTCATAAAACTTCTAAAAGCTTATGCGTTTAACATATATAGTTGCCCATTTTATATATTTTGTATATCCTTACTACAAGTATTCCCGACAAATTTCAAGTCGATACAGTTATTCCTTCGCGAGTTAAAGGGGCTTGAATAATTTATATTGCTGACGTCAGCATTATTTTGAAAGGCCGTTATAAGCTACGCGGTTTTCCAAACCTAAGTTGAAATAGTTCGGTGGGCTTTCAAAAGCTTTATATAATTAATATCAAACATAATTGTGGACCTGTGTGATAAAATATATCTTTTCTTGAGCATTTACTACACGGCCGCCATGTTGGTGGTCCAATATTACGCAATCTCAGACCACCAACATGGCGGCCGTGTAGTAAATGCCCAAGGAAAGATATATTTTATCACACAGGTCCTCAATTGTGTTTGATGTTAAGTATATAAAGCTTTTGAAAGCCCACCGAAATATTTCAACTTACGTTTGGAAAACCGCGTAGCTTATAACGGCCTTTCAAAATAATGCTGACGTCAGCAATATAAATTAGTCAAACCCCTTTAACTTGCGAATGAATTACTGTATCGACTTGAAATTTGCTAAGAATACTTGTAGTAAGGATATACAAAATATATAAAATGGGCAACTATACATGTTAAATGCTTAAGCTGTTAGAATTTTTATGACGTCACATGCAAACACTCTATAGGAGAATATTAAGGTTTGATAGATTTTAAGGATTTATCCGGTGTAGTGGACTGGAACACAGGCTAGCAAGCCAATAATTTTATGGACTGCAGGTAACTTCATCTGGGTTTTATTGGAGAAGTATCAAACAAAGCATTGTCAATCGTTATTTGATGTCAGTGACTCAGTGCAAATCAATACAAATAATCATGACGATCCGAGCTCATGGATGGAATATTTAATTGTCGAATAAATAAACGGTAGTGTTTTCCATTAAACAAGCAATTATGTTTATCGCAATGGATTTTTTATATTAATTATTTTATATGTATATTCTCCAATTTCAGAGCCTGCTCAGTATGGAGAAAGCGGTGAACAAAATCAAATCTATTTTCGCACTGACAAGGAGAAAACATGAATTCGAAATGAAGCGAAATACAGCAAAAGCCAAACGACTCAGTGTCTGTACTCAGAACACGAAGAAGAAAGTGGATAATAATTCAACTGTTAATCCGTTGGCAGCTGTTACAAGTTTAATTGAAACATTAGGTTTGGGTGTAATCACTGTAATGGGTGTATAGAAACAAACTTTATGAATTTTATAGCTATTTTTTTTAAACAAAACCTATGGTACCCAAAGGCCAATGACGTCGATGGCCTCGACGCGAGTCGCCACAATGTGACCAGTAACGCCGAAAACAAACAAACAAGACCAGTTAACAAGTTGTTACTGAAGTTTAGTTTCATATTCTGCAAAAAAAAATTGGTTAAAAAAACAATTCATGGGTTATTTTAATCAATTTGTTCTTACAGTATACCAAATTATTTGATCAAACTGGACTGAGCAATTTCACACTGACTTTCATTTTTTAAAATTGTACATGAACAAAAGTTATTATAGGCAGACAATGGCTAATATAGCCAAAAGTACGTACAATAAGATTAACGTTCATATAATCATGCAACTGCGAAGCGTTTCTTTGTATGTATTAAAAACCATAACACATATTGATAGAACGACTGGTACATATTACTGGGTGGCTGCATGGTGAATGTTAATTAAAGAAGACATAAAGCGTACACTACTCGTGCCCAAACTTCAATTGAGCTCAGTTGGTACCACTGCTGCAACAGCACAATATCTGTGCTCGTTCATGACGGGAAGATATTCCCATGAATAACCTCCTAAAACATAACCCTCGACGGAATTCTGATGCATGCCAAACCCACCCATAACTACAATTATGTTATCGGTAATAACTGCACATGCCAAAACTCTCTTCTCTAACATTGATGGTAACTCTTTTGTTTCCCCTGTTTCACAATCATACATTAGAACAGTATTTAATGCGATTCCATTCCTACCACGACCTCCAAGTAAAATCACCTTGTTTTGCCAGCGAACTGACGCTGCCCCCGTCACAGCATAAGGCAATGGAGGCATGGGTTTGCACTCATTCTTGACTATGTCAAACTCTATTACACTATCTGTTATATTGCTAACACTAGGAGCAGTTTCTCCTCCCAAAACCACTATTTTGTCCTTAATTACCTCCGCGCAATGATGTTGCCTCGGTTCGGGCATACGAGACAACTGTTTATAGGTGTATGTAGGTGCAGAAAGATTTAATTCTGAAATTAAATTATCATAACAACGGTTTTCATCATTGTACCCACCAATAAAAAACACTTGATCCTGATAGATTACGGTAGGTAGGTTAGTACAGCAGTGTGTCCATATGGCTGGAAATTGATTCATCTGTAGAAGAGATTCACTTAAATGTATGACTCGTACCGAATCTCTGCAAACGACAAACAATTGATCTTTGTAGACAAAAAACACGATGGCCGTGGAGCAATTTTCCATTGACAACACTCTTTTCCACACAGACTCTTTACTAAAATATCTCTCCAACGAATTTTCGGGGCAACCTCCTACTACAACGAGGTCGTTTTTTAGTGTAGTACACACTTTCGTGATTGAAGATGAAATTTTAACTGTGAGTTCAAGAGCAGTCAATTTGTCCAAAACCAATGCCATCATCGCTTTTACTTCCTTACAATTACTTTTCATTTGCTCTTCTATTTCATTCAGGCTGCCTTTCATTGCTCCAACTTCTTTTTCCATTTTTTCCTTGATATCTTCAACATCTTTCTCGATCTTCCCACAGTTATGACACTTCACTTTCCTGTATTCGCATACTGTGCTCTCGTGATGAATAATCTCTCGCTTATTAATTGACATTCCGCATTCCTCGTTTGAGCATTTCACCGGAGCAAACCCGCAATTCTCGACGTGAGAATCTAGCTCTTGAAGACGAATGTACTGTTGACAACCTCGGTTAGAATAATCGCACTTTATCTTGAGTTCAGATAAATAATTGCTCACCAGACGCGGGGCTTTGCGAAGTGTTTCGACAGTCAAGTCCTCGTTACATTCTGGGCAAGTATGCGAGTTCACAGTTAAATGTTCAGTGATACAGCCACGGCAAAATATGTGTTCATTATTTCTACACATCATTGGTTCCTTAAGAACATTGTAGCAGATAGAGCAATGAAAGTTGGCATCGACAGCTTTCTCAAAACGACTATCTTCGTAGCCATATTTCTCTTCCGTCGGGCAATACGCCATTCTCGAGAGGACGCAAACCTAAGCCGCCTGTTTGCTTACATATCTTTCTATTCTAGTGTCCTTTAACACAATGTTCTTTAACACCGTCCTTACTCCTGTAATTACTTGCTGTACATCGTCACATAATTTGAAAGCGAGACAACGTCTTCGATTCGTGTCTTGCTGAGTTAGTTTCGTTTTGTGATTCAGATATTTTACATATAGTATTCGGTTACAAGGGTCTTACAAAAATGCAAAACAGTCACCAAAACAAGCAATGAGGCGTGAGCAAGGTCGCGACCTCTATAAAAAGATGTTTCCCAAGACACAAAGCCATGATGCAGCCGAGTATGATCGATAGCTTTTTTGCGTGGAAGTAATAAGACACCAAAGAGCACTGATTTAATATATTTTTGTATACTGCTAATGTGCTGTCCGGTTCTAAATCAGACCAAATGGTTGCTTTGTGGCATCTATATTCGATATTCCAAGCATTTACAAAGTGGCATTTCAACGGTAATAAATAATTTGTTTGAGCTGGTGGTACATTTGAATGATTTGATAGGGTATGTATTTTTCATTCCTTCCAGAAGGCCGTTTTTTTCTCAGGTTTTTCTGAGTATTCGAGATTCCTTTTGTATAATACTAGATGATCAATGACCTTTACTGTGCTTCTAGAGAAAAACAGTTTTGAAATAACTGAGAGCTATCCAGTAGAAATAAAGTTGGTTCACTTTAGGTTTCCTCCTGTAATTCTTTGTAATGACTGCAAAATCACGTGACTTTTCATCCAAATGACGGGCAATCAAACTACTTGTGGACGATTTTTCTCCAGTCAGAATGGGTGTAGCAACAAAAACTGAACGATAATTCATCTTTTGAGTCTTACGCCTGTATTCTAAAAGCTCACACTCAAAGTGTAGAGGTTCAATCTGAGCTTGCCTTGAGTGTCAATGCAGTTTTTTTAATAGCTGGAAGGCGAGTAGTCACATAGTAAGCTACGGCACTAACACTCCAGCTATTCAAAAACACTCAAGGCAAGCTCAAATTGAACCTCCACTCTTTGAGTGTGAGTGAGCTTTTAGAATACAGGCGTTAAACTGTCTCCAAACTCGATCAATAAATTAAAATAGCTGTTTTTTGTCATACCTGCCCGTCAACTGAAATCCCAAAATTACATCATTGCAAACAAAGAATAACCCTTTACTGGACCTCTAGGCAGAACAGTTTTGAACTGATAGAGATATCCAATGTTATTGAAATTACTTTTGGTGACATCTTACCCTAGCCTACGGTGTAGACCCCAGCAGAAACACGTTTCGTGAGGGGTCTATGAACGAAGAAAAGCTTGCCCGGCCTACGTCATATCCGTTTTACGTCATAGCCTGCTCAGTATGGAGAAAGCTGTGAACAAAATCAAGTCAATTTTCACGTTGACAAAGAGGAAACATGATTTTGAAATGAAGAGAAATACTGCAAAAGCGAAACGACTTAGTGTTACTACTCATAACAAGAAGAAACCAGACAGTAATTCAACAGTTAACCCACTGGCTGCTGTCACAAACTTGGTAGCAACATTAGGTTTGGTTCTTTAGATTATATTGGAAGAACTATTCTTACTGGTACATATTGGACACAGGGCCTTTTTTAAGGATTTTCCCGTGGGGAGGGGGGGATTTTTTGAAAAGGGACCTTTCTGTGAGATAATATATTACAGGGAGATAGCAATAGCTGAAGGCCACGTGTGTGACCAACACACCATGCACGCATGAATGGGGGGTTTGGGGGGGGGGTACTCCCCCAGAAAATTTTTGAAATTTGAAGCACGGAAAAGCCATTTCCTGCATTCTGAGCAACAAAATTTGCTCCAAAATGTATGCTAACTATACTTGTATTTGAAATAAAAGAAGGAAAAAACCAACAAAAAGTTAAAAAAATATTAACCATAATTTATCATTACTTATTAGAGGAGGATACCAATGGTCACGTGCGTAGGGGTGTACTCCCCCAGAAAATTTTTGAAATTTGAAACACGGAAATGCCATTTCCTGCATTCTGAGCATCCAAATTTGCTCTAAAATTTATGCTAACTATACTTGTATTTGAAATAAAAGAAGGTAAAAATGCACAAAAAGTAAAAAAGAATATTAACCGTAATTTATCATTATACTTATTAGAGGGGGATACCAATGGCCGAAGGCCACATGTGTGGGGGCATATATCTCCAGAAAATTTTTCAAATTTGAAACCTGGAAATGCTCTTTCCTGCATTCTGAGCATCCAAAAAATAAAAAATTATTAACAATAATTTATCATTACTTAGTGATAGAAAACCGTAACAATTTAAATCGATTTTCTTAAACAATGACAAAGGATAAAGCCTAAAACTTACTTTCCGTTTATTTATTTATTTGTTATTCTTCGCTGTTTTGTTGGTATAAAATAAGGAAAAAGGGACTTTTCCTAGGGGGGCACAAGGAAGGGGGACTGGGGGGATTTGTTCCCCAGCTTGTATGTTAAAAAAGGCCCTGCCTAATACATTGTCGCATAAAGGGCAATTATCCTGGCTTGCTCTCATTTGAGCGTCTGAAATGCAAATTGAATAATTCTACAGGGAAGAAGACATGGTTATAGGTACTTTTAAGCTACTGGAAAACATAAAACTTCTCAATACTTTGCAGCGATTCAACAGAA